GTTGGCAATTCCCTGGGGCTTAGTAGCGTGCACAGCTTAGTAGCGTTTATTGGTACAGCGTAATTGAGTATGTCAAGTTGCAGAATCTAGTTTAGGTTTCGCCGCTTCTCCCACACCACCCGATGAGGCTGGAGTACGAGGATCTGTTAAAAGCGTGATCGTGACTGTATTGTTGAGAGCTTCTGTCTGTGTAGGTCGCTGTTTCATGAAAATACTGAGGGGAGGCTTCGTTAGTAACATCGCTTGACTGGGTGATGTTATCCGTCAAGTTACTGCGAATGTCCGTAGTGTAGTGGAAGTCTGTGTCGGCGGAGTAGTACGGCAGGTGTGGGGGTGGGCTCATATAGCCAACTTCCTGGGACGTTACCCAACTACTAGTAGGATCGGTTGTTTGCCAAGGTGTGAGATTCGGTAGCCACTGCCAGAGTAAGGAGGTCAACAAGTGCGGAATAGCGCTGACAATCATGTGCACCTGCAAGTCATCGATACCAACATAGTTGTGTTGTTCTTGTTGACCCAGAGTGTCGTGGATGAATTTGATTTGTTTGTCGCCGGCCCGCCCACTCTTGCGAGCGCTAGACTTAGGATGGGGTTCACGTGAAAGGGATGAGCTTAGTGTAGTGCTTCCACGCCCTTTTGTCCATGGCGATTTGAGAGACTTCTTCGGCAATGTCTCCTGGCACGGGCTTAGCATATACATTTCTTCGTGCAACTGTGGCGCACCTCTGAAGGGCTTTGAGCTTCTTCCGCGTTTGCGGGTAAATGATAGGTGACTATGGCCAAAGGAGGTGCTCTCAGGTCATCGGTACCCAATACTCGCAGTTTATATTGTACTGTCCAATCTGCTGTTGCATGAGTAGCGCGAAGTATCGTGGTGTTGCTTGTAGTTACCGGTAAAGCGCTCCACCAACTGGTCTCGGAAGCGTTTAGGCAGCGTGGGAGCATTGTACCGCCAATAGATGTCTCCGTTGGGACCTTCACAGGAACCTTCTGAGTGCAAAGAGACACCTGTGATGACGAGCTCGGTTTTGTTCGGTAAATCCGCTCGGGCGATGTAAAGTCCCCACACTTCAATTCGGAATGGAGACAAAATCTTCAAACTTTTTCGGAAGGGGTCGCCTTCGAGGCTCTGGCGCAAGGGTGAGAGTTCTGAAAGCGTTAGCAAGAGGGGAACGCTGGGGCTGCTACTGGTGCGACGACCAACCACCGTGACGTCGAAATGGAATTGCATGGGTGCGTAGGTGAAGTCTGGCGGCACCTCGTAAGGTAGTACGCCATTAGAGTTGGGCCGCTTGAATTGTAGGAGCCACGGCGGAACTGTGAACATGTCGTAACCTTCATTGACCCATTGCGAAGGGGGGTTTTGGCCTAGTAGCTTTATCACTATATCATAGACATCATAAAACCTGAATTGGGACCGACAAAAAAAAAACGCTTACGCCAAGGTTGCGTGGCCGAAGCCTCTAGCTTTTTTAGAGCAGCGGAGACTGCGGCGCGAGTTCTTGACTCATTCAGCCTGCTATGCAGGTATGCCGCGATAAAAACCCCGCGGTGGGCGAAGCGAAGTTGAGTTTGGGCGTCCGGTGTTCCTGCAGCCTCGCGATGGGCTATGAGGCCTAAGACAGTGACATTCTGCGTGCAGTGATGATGGTATGAAGAACCTTGGACCAAAACAACACAGCTACGCACGAAGAGTCTGAGGAGCAGTACGAGGCTTGTAGTCCACGTACGACATAGCTGACCAAGTTGCCGAAGCGCTGAGTCCAGTCGTCAACATGCGAATGGCGCTTGGCCCGCATGCCTCTTGGAATTCCAAAATCTAGTCGACAATATTAGACAGTCCTCCTTCTCCAAGTCGGTGTGAGAGACACAAACTTGAGCAGCACTACATATATCAGAGAGCACCTCTGGGCCGGAGGGTACCAGCGTTGAGCGTAGTTGTTCGTTGTCCGACATTAGGGGGAAACGTGGGCGTAAGACAGGAGCGACCTAGCCAGGCTTAAAAGAACGGGGTCCATAAATATAACCAAGTGATGAGAAGCCGGTAGCAGTCACAACGCCCACAGACCTTCCTCTTTCAGACAACTTTCTTTCCCGGCTGGTTGAGGTAATTGGAGAATGTTGAGCTGGTTCGAGAATAGTCGAGTCAGATTGTCCATCCAGTGCATTCCCAGCAGAGGCGCGACCAGAGGCTGAACCAAACTTGCGCATAATACATATTGTGTGCGCAATTCGTAGCCCCAGAAGTTGGACACGCTGGATTCGAAGTACTTGAAGTAAGCAAGCGTACCTCCTGCGCAGTTTACAGGTTAGCACGCCTGTGGCCCGAGCGATACTTCAGGGAGCGGGGGTTATCCACAAGCAGCAGTAGGCAGCAGTAATTAATATCACTGGGGGCACACGCTATGGCGTGCCGGAACACGCGGACCTGCCGCGTGGCCGGCCGCGTGGCTGGCTCGTACCTACGGCGTGCCAGCCAATTTCTCACCAAGTGGCAAGACTATGACGATGGGATGACGTCATTTATAGCGCCTAAACAATTTAGACTAACTTGGCCGTTCTTTATACATCCTTGCCAATAACCTGAATGGTATTCCCGCATAGCTTGGTACTTAGCTTAGCTGCTCATCATCAACTAAGAGTCAGAGGCCAATGTCGTCAACGGCGACGACAACCGTGACCTTGACAGTGGACACATGCTGATCAGAATTTAGCGCCAGATATACATCTTTTCGTTCTCTTCCACTCCACCACCAGCAATCCGACAAACATCTTACATAGCACACCAACGACGTTGGCCCCAACTCAATCATTTCCTCCACTACTCTCTATGCACATAAATGCCCCAGTTCTCGCTGCACCATCTACACAAACTACGGAAGCTCGGGCCGCCTCCACCAGTGCCAGTACTCCTAGAGGTTGACTCGCACCATGACGACTGCGTCGCTGACATCCTCCTTCAATTGTGCTGCAGCCCGCGACGGGCGACTTCATGACATTGTCTGTGTACCTCGAAATCGCCACAAGTCGCTGACTCGCTGTTGGGGATCCGGATGACGCACACTTCACCGTCTTACTGTCTTGCCGCTGTATCTCGCCAGCAGTGTCCCATAATCCGAGCTGCCAGTAGTATGGCAATGCACATTGTTTGCAGTCGACGCGCCTACCTGCTCTCCTCTCGCCGCTTAAAGCGGAAGTCAGAGAAGTGACTCTTGAGGGTGAAAAATGACGCTTCCCTGCCGCCGTTGACAGCATTATAGCGAGTGCGCGGGTACGTGCCCGTGCACAGAGATGCCCTCGTTGGAGTCATACCTCTGCGTCAAATAGCACCGTGCTAGTGACGGTGCGTTGTGTTGCCCGTGCCCCCGGTCGTTTTTTATCTTTGCAGCCGGGCCGTTAATGGGTGTTGCACTGCCTGAACGTCCACTCTGTTGGCGCCTCACGAAGGCTGGCTCGGTCTGCCGAGGCACAGGGTGGTTGCCAGCTTCAACCGCATGTGCTGCTGACGAGCCACCTAATGCAGAGGCGGGGGTTGGCGTCGATCTGGCGGCGGGGGCCCAGGTTTAAAAATGCTCGGTCACGTTTGCGAAGGCGCGGGGGCTGATGTGTTCGACTCGATTCTGCGCGACTGTGGCGACGTCCAGGAGCTGCCAATGGCCAACTCGGCCATATACCTGGGACTGGTGCGCAGGGTGCCGAGAACGGGGCTGCATGAACTGGAAATTTGGGCCCTGACAGCGCCAACCAGGCTCCAGCCCCCCACCGTCTCTGGGAATGCCCGCGCTGGCGGGTGCACGCGTGTGCTGGCATTCTGGTCCGTTTCCGCTAGGCCACGAAAGCCGTCCATCCAAGCATCCTTCGCTTCCAACAACAAGGCCACAGCCACGGCCCCACATCCGCATCCGGGTCACGCTCCCGGTTGTCCCGAATATGATTCAATCCCAACTTGCTCGTGGCGAGAATGCGGCGGGCGCCAGCCCTTGTACCAGACGCTAGCTTGCCTATTCCATCAGGAAATCCCCTCATGCGCAAAGCGTCGCTGCCGCCAGAACACATCACCTCTATCCAGGGCCCAGGCGTGGCAGCGACAAGGGCTGCACGGCCACGGCTGGCCAGCCGCCGCTGCACCCTCTAGACATTTCTGGCCGGCTGAATTTCGTGCTCGTCAGGCGCGGAAGGAGCTCAGAGCACGGCTGCTAAACAGCTTCAAGTTCCCGGCAATGTGTCACGGGCGACGTTGGTGGCGGAGGAAGAGAGCGGCGAGGGCAATGCACGCGAGGAGGAACAGCCCGTCAGGGACGCCGCCCGCGACCGCGACGCCGCTGGTGCCGGATCTGTTGTGGCTGGGGAATGTACATGTGTAACTTAGGCCTCACCGCTGCTCCCGCTCGGCCCGGCGCTGCCGCTTGCACTCGCGGCAATGCGCGGGGGCAGGACGAGGAAGTCCGCCCACCGCGGGTCTGCGGAGACGGCCGTGACGGCGAGGGTGTACACCGGTCGCTCGCCGCGCCGAGGGCCGGCGCCGGTGGCAGCAAATTGGAAACCTCTTATCTAAATTATCTTTCAAGTTTACGAGTCTCCAATGTAAGATTGTTTATATAATATTGTGATGATGTCATTGTTCTTTGAAGCTTTTGAAACTTGGCTGCAACGGGGCTGGCACGCCGTAGGTACGAGTCAGCCACGCGGCCGACCACGCGGCCGGTCCGCGTGTTCCGGCACGCCGTAGCTCATGCCCCCAGTGTAAGTAGGTGTGACCAGTAAATTCATGTCACGCGTCGGTATGCCAGCGTGACGTCAGGAATGGGCCGGGACCAGTCACCCAACTGGGAAGACTGGCCCAGGGCAGACATTGCGTGTTGTTGGGAAGCTCGTGATGTTGGTAGACTAAAAGAGAGGGTCCTTTTGCGCGGAATACATTCACAAAACTCAAGGAGGTTACACATGAAGGCACGCAAAATGTAAGATATTGAGTATCATTGGTGTTTCAGAACATACACTCAGTCACTAGTCACTTCGTCGGGGTCGATCACCTCGAACTCTGCGTGGTCCACAACTTCGCCAGCATCCACTGAGTCCACAGGGTGGTTCGAGCCTGGAGTCGTACCGACCGTGCCTTGATCAACGACTTCTTCGTTTGTCGCCAGCTTGACGCGCTTCACTGAATAGGGTATCAGTCACGTCGACATTTAGAGCCGCAACTGAACTCCGCACCTGGTGGCTCGCCCAATCTTTCTGGAATGGAGACCGGAGCGCCGGGCTGAGCAGTAACGCTCTTGTTGTCCTGATTGACCAGTCGAGGATCGACGGTAGTTTGGATAAGCGCAGCCCCGGTGGGTGAAGACTTGAGGTGCAACAGTGCGTCTGCGGCCGCGGTATCTTCCTTACTGATTTGGCGGATGTCGCGAGTAGATATGAAGTCGCACATTTCCTCAGGCATACCGCTTTGCAGGATCGTCACCGACACAATGGTTGCTAGGACGGTTCAGTTTTATTGCAATCGGCGAGGTGGGGCCTTACCGCTGAAGCAATCATACGTGAGTGTTGGCGAAGATTGGGACACTTTCAGCGTATAGTGCTTCAGCACGAAATTGACCTCCACCAGACTTCCCACCATCATTTCTCGAATGTCGTCACCCTCCACCAGCACGTTCTTCTCATTGTACACCTGCAACGGGCGCACGTGAAAACGCTTGCAAGCTTCTTCAAAAGCATCCTCGCATACGTCTGGCACCGTCCAGTCGCGCGGGTGCACCAGCACTAGATCCTTGTCAAGTGACTTCCTCTAGTGAGAAATCACTTACCAGCGTCGCCCTCTCGCTTCTTCTCGAAGACGGGTTTCGTGAAGCGTAAAAGGCTGCCCGATGGGTCCTCCAATAGGAAATGACGCGAATTGGAGTTGTCGCAAATGCCCAGCTGAATGCGCCCCACGCTATCGAGCTGGCGATCCCACTCTTTGGCGAATATGGTGCCCTCTTGAGAGGGTTGTTAGAATGTGAAGGCAAAGAAGGGCAAACGTACCCGGTTTCTCGAGAAGGAATGAGAATTTGGACTTTTCCACGCGATCATTGAAAGAGGGGCGCCAAGCGCCAACCCCGTCGACATTGGCTTGAGAGTCGGAGACTCTGCCAACAGCAGAGAGCACGGCAACTTTCCCCCGTTTACCCTCGTCTAGCACACATACAACATGGCCATTGTCCTTACGCTTCCATGCGTATTGTAGTTTTTTGGAAGCGAGAAACAAAGGGGAGGAGAGCAAGTGCTGTTGCAAGTCGGCTAGAGCTGGTTGCTATAAGGGCAGAACACCACAGTGTCCGACGCTGTACTCACTAGACATCCACGTTGCTTTGTAAGGACTTGTAGGGTTTAGAAGAGTAACTCTGGGTCGCCTTTCCATTACCAGCGCCTTTTTAAAGCGTTTCAGTAGCTAGACCACATGGCGTGCCGGCCATCGTGGGGAGCGGTGGCGGATGTGAGAGTGGCAAACGACGTGAGAGTAAAGAAGAGAGAGAGTGCACAGCCACGAAGGACATGATATTTCAAATTTGACAGGTGTACGTTATTCGGTGGTCTCCTCCGCCGGCTGTGCCGCATCCTTCTTGAACAGCTTGGATACCTTCTTAGCACGAATGATCCACTTCTGCTTATGGAAGAAGCAGTTAGTGAACAATTGGATGTCTGCGCAGAACTGACCACGCGCCAGGTGTGGCAACCGAACGCAAATTTCTCTTCAACGGTTTCCACGCGAAGCAGCTCCGCAGCGATGGCGAAAGCACCAGAGGGCTTCAAATAGACTTCTTCCTTACTCAACAACGGCATCTCCGCTTTGTGCGCAGGATGCTCCTGCAACTCCCGGTGTGAATCCCAGTCGACCATGTTCTGTGAGGGTGTCAAATTAGCTGCTTCTTTGACGATTTCCTTACCCAAACAGTGTCCTTATCGCACTGCACAATGATAATTCCGGCATTGTAGCTAGTGGATGTGTTGCACCAGTTCTCATAGGCCAAGTAAAGCTTTACATGGTGATGTCAAACGACTCGCCCGCGCATTAGAGACTGACTGACCACATCCGGACCAAACTCCCACTTTGTGATGAACGCAAGAGAGTTTAACGTGCTCTCAAATAACTCGCGCATCACGGGCGCTTCTATGCCTGGGTTGCTGAGCAAAAGAGTCTGTGGAAGGTGAAGTCAGATAGATCAAAATAGGGGGGCACTGTGGTTGGGCGGTACATAGTTCCCGTTGTCGTCCGTTTTGAAGTCCGCTAAGCGACCAGGGAACACCACTTGAAGGTTGGAATCGTCTCTCATGGCGAGATAGTTCCTCGTAAAGCACGGACCATCCCCTGCGACGGGCGGTCCAAGGTAAAAATCTTCATGGAGGGTCAACTGGGGTAAGTGAAACGCCATACTGGTTGAGTGTGGCTCTCACTGTCTTATTCTTTAAAAGGAACGCCCGTGCGAGTAGCTCGCACCCATTTGGATGTTCGCTATCGTATTTCCCCGCAACAAGAATGGAGATGAGGTACAGATCGATCATTACTCATGAGACGTCGGAACACATTGAGACTACATGCCATCACGTCTTTCAGCTGTCACAGAACCAGGTTCCGTTTAACCACCACTCCATGGGAGACGGTCCACCAACTAGAGTAAATGGTAGGGTGAGCAACCACTCAACAGAAATCATACTACTGACCTCTTTAGGAAGGTAGCGAAAACGTCGATGCTGTTGACTACCGTATGGGGGTCCACGAACCGCCCCCTTCTTTGGCATACCACCAGCACGTCCCCAGTTATGACTGGTTGTAAGGGCGGCCCACGAAGAAGTTTAACCTTGTCCATAAGCAAGACATTCCGAGTGTCGTTCTGGTCAGTGGAGTTGAAGAAGATGCCAAGCACCACGTCTGAAACCTTCGCAAGGGAGTTGGGTAAGAATGCGCGGACCAACACAAAACGGTCGTAGGTAACTCCGCCGAGATAACGGAGTCTGGAGCCATGGAGGGTTGTGGCGTTCAGTTCCGGTCCCCCTGCTCTTCGATCCAACCAAAAATCAGGCATCAAGTCTTCAAATCTTCGAGAACGAGAGAGCGGACCGTACAGAGGCACTCTCACAGAGTAGGACGAGTTGCAGCAGACTGGGAACAAAACTCCACCAACGTATTCCTCGTGAAAAACCTGTTTTGTCCCAATCAGATCAGCCAACGCCGACAAACGCAGTACCTTTTCTATCATATAGTCGACAGTCCGTCCAACCCCCATAATTTGCGTTTCTCGCAAGTTAGTCGTCGACCACAGATGATTATGGTGGAGGGTCGTCTCTTTGCGGATTAGCACCTTGTTTGGACAGTTGCGGCGGTCACATAGATCGAAGGAGTTGCGAAGGGCGAAGACGCCATCAGGGCAACCCTGTGCAACTTGCTCCCCAAGCGCGTCGGGTTCCTCCGAAAGACAGTCGAACTTCGGCGACGAGGCGGAACCGATCAAATTGAAAGCTGCGAAACTGCATGGGGCAGAACTCAGGATGACAATCCAGCGATTGTTGATGAGGGGGTCGATGGGAACTGACGACCACTTTATGACCTCTGCGCCAGAATTCGGTTTTGAAGTCCCGAACGTCAAAAGCGCCAGAGGTCATCGTAGCGCCATCTCGCACGCGGGTGATGCCGTCACGAACGTCTTTGGGATACTGAATAATAAGCTTCGAAGGCGTCAACCAGATCGCTTGCCAGGTGTGCAGCGTAGTTCCGAACCAAAGATCAACGGGCACCTCTTGCGGCGCTCTCGCTCACGGTGTAGCTAAAGTGTTCGGGCGGCTGACGATAGTCAACAGCGGGGGGGAAAATGACATCGGCCTCGGTATCGTTACTGTGGATGCTCTCGGCGTCGTCAGGGTCCGAGCTGGCCGCCCCTTCTTCGGAGACATCGAGTGGTGCGGAGCTTTCGTCTTTGGGAGCTTCGAACAAGAAAGCTCGGTGCTTCCCTGCCCAAACGGAGTGTTCAAGGAAACTGGGCACGAACATGTTAGTGTCGGTGGCGTGGAGGTAAGGGATCCAGGGAGGGAGATCTTTGGGCTTGCGACCCAGTTTCTCAAGCAGTGCGGTGAGTACCTCCAGTCCTCCTTTACCCACAATGAAATTGAAGTCTTGAAGGTACCACGCTTGATTCTCATCCATTATCTCTTTCTCCATCAAGCGCATGCCGGTGGAACCAACGAGACCGCCGTTATATTGCGCGAGCACGTCCAGAATGGGTAGGAGTTGGTCACCCAGATGTTCGCGCAACATGAAGAAAATTCTTTGTCGGATGTACGATTGAACTTGCGAGCGATGAAGATTGTTGCATTGAGAAAGGCTCAAGAGGTCGAAAAACTTGAGGTACCGATGGACCATGCGCCAGAGCTCGGGAGGCAAGCCTACATCCAGCGTCGGGGGAAGATTGAGAGAGTCAGGTCCTGAGATGGGCGAGGGAGAACGCGAAAAGTAGGTATGCTCCGCGGCGAGTTCAGCTGTTCACAGACTTAACATTTGCAGAGTTCACGCGAAGAAACCCACCTTGGGAAGGAGAACCTTCCTCTTCATCGTCCACTGTGGAATCTTTAAGTTCAGGCGTCCCACGAGGGAAGAGCACCTACGAGGAGAGGGACCGCGAGTGGACGGTTCGCTATCCGCTTCCAAAGGAACTGCGCAGCGGCTGCCGTCACGCTGCAGCACCACAAACAACCTCTGCGTGACTTCATCGAAGACCAACTCCTCCTCGTCATCGCTGTCGAAGGATGAATACGACCAGGCCGGAGAGGGTACGGGAATAGTGGGCAGAACGACGTGCAGTGCATCGTTTATGTTGTCAGCTGGGAGGAGAAGTAGTCAGGTCGGTGGACAATACTCATATCTGCAGCATCCTTCATTTGATTGTGTAAAACTATAGGGTAGGAACGAATAGCACTGATTAGCGACCACGACACGGCGCAGACTATACTACAAACCCATCTGCGCGACGCCTTCGCCGACGGGCTCGTCCATATGGGACATCGTTGAGCAATCTAACTATACCAACAATTCTAGCGTCACTTCTAGGTCTATCGGCGCACCCTACTGCTCACTTGAGAGAGGGGAAGGGGGTTGAAAGCAGCGACTGGGCAATCTGGCACTGGCGGGCGAACGCCTCGTTGTGAGGATCGTAGAGGTAAGAGATGAAGTCGTCAAGATCTGTGTAATCAGGTTAGTTCTAACGGATATGGGACAATCAGGCCGCACACCTTTTTCCCAGCTTAAACCGAGCATAACGGCCGTTTCGTCGTTGACATAGGGCTCCATTGTAAAGAAAGGAAGCCACAAATTCAGCGACCAAACTGCCCCATGTAGCAAACAACCCTCCGGCACGAAAGCGCTCTGAGTTTCGCCGGTCGCAGGTCGGACAGCACCCAATTGAGGAGTCGCAGCGTCGATATCATGGTAGGTAATATCCGAAAATGCGGCGTGAGCTGAGTCGATACCTTGGTTCGTGGTATGAGAACGAGCACACGCGAACCGACTGCGTGTGAGAAACGCACCGAGAACCGACAACTCGTACTCTGCATATCCACCGACATTCTCGAACTCCAATGTGAAGTGCATTTGGCGCGGGTTACCGATGGGGAGGTCGTTCTTTAAGCTGAAGCGATCGCGATAAGGAAGAAGCGCTGCGGAATGGCATCGTAGCTGGGAAATGAAGTCGGAGAGGGAATGTGGGTGCGTTTGTTACATTAAAAGATCTGATGGTCACGTGGAACATGATTGTCAGCGTCGGGCTCGGGCCGTATCGGGGCGTCGGGGGGTCCGACTTCGAAGAGGTCTGAGGAGCACGAGAGATGGGTATTCGCCCGGAGAATAGACGATATTAGCCTAGCGACTACATCTTGTAAGTACGACTTTTATACGCTACGGTATTAGGGATGGATCGGATGGGCGCCAGGTCCCAGGGCGGATCGGATGGGCGCTGCGTAGGGTCGTAGGGGTGAATGGAAGGGGTTGGAAGAATGAGGGGGCGTCCAGGAGGACGACGGTATACGGGCCCGTGCGGCCTTACGGCCCGGACGGCCCGACCCGAACCGTGACATCACCCCCCTCCGTTGTGGGCGGCGCCTCGACGCCCCTATGGGTCCCGTCCCCTGGTCTTGCTTTCGGATTTTCCATCGGCCATTTACGAGTTCTTTCGGGCGCGAACGGGTTGAGAGTATAAAAGTCCTCGAGTGCCTCTTCTTCGCCCTCCAGTTTGTCACGCAATTCCCACGTCCACTCTTCGCGAGGGTAGCCTTTCCACTGAATTAGGTACCTTAGGCGGTGTCATCCTTGCTTGCGTACCGAGCGAAATGGCCTCAACTTCGTGAGTGAGGCTCGCCGTCCCGCATTTCTGCCGG